AATCGTTGGGAACTAAGGCACAAATCGGGCTGTACTTCACAACCCGGAAGGTAGATCACTTCGGCCGGGGACTCGTTTTTGTTAGTATAGTCGTCTTGACTCTGAAATATGAAGAAGGTAGTTTTTGTATGAACCAATACGAAATTGGATCATTGACTTCATGCTGTGTATAACATCATATTACCGTCAGCCAGTAGTAGTAGTAGTAGCAGCAGCTGTAGTTACTCAATTGATTACTGATTTGTGGTAATCCTTTTGGGGGTGAAGGCGCTTACCAAGAAAAGACTGAAAGCTGTTGTAACATAAGATACACAGTCATTCACATGGATGTCTTTAACGCTCATTTAATTGGGTGACGGTAATCAAGCAGTTTGGGACAAAAGCAATGAAACCTCACGTTTGGAAAATAAGACACGCATGGGTGAGTTGTTAACTTGCTTAGCTACGAACAGTACAACCGCATTGGTATGAATCAATCCCGAATCACATACTGAAATTGTAGATGCAGTCAAGTTTTAACTTGTGTTTTCAAACAGCACTTCCTAATTTGTCACTCTAGATGTCGACTTCCATCTGTTTCTTGCATTGATTTGTCTCGTAAAGCACCGCATCATTTTTCATCTACCAATAAACCGGAGTAGTGATACGGAAGAAATCATTAACCGGTTAGGACGAATAACAACTTAAACCCCCTGAACATAGATCACTTGAGGTCAAAATATGATAGACATAAATAAAACGACAGTAACACTATCTACTTCCGGTCGGTCTCGGTAATTGTCGTGTTCTCAGCACTGATAGATCCGGTTTTTTTCCTCAGACAACTGACCAGACAGCACTTCAGTAGGTTGTTTAGTAGTGTAGGATGCAATGAATCACGTGACCGACAGTCTTGGACTTTTTGTAGGACACTGCACAAACCCTTGGATTAACTTCGTAGACACCTTACGGATATGGGTGCTGAGAACACAAGAGACCGATTGATTATGAGATGGAGTGAATCTCAAGCTGAATTGAGCTCAATTATCCCGCCGTCGTTTCCGAAGACTGCGTTCAAGTGAGCATCTGGAAACCCAAACGAATTTGGTTTGGTGTTATCGGCAATAGCATAAGTTTTGGCCGGACTTTATCACTTTACTACACAGAAGGAAACGACCCAATTGTTGGATTATAATGATTACACAACCTGGAACGGAAATAATTACGCAATCGCCATTTCAATCTTCCATCGGTCGATCGATTTCACAGCATGGTTCAGAACTCAAATAGTTCACATGGAAAAAACGTCAATCTGGTTTCGTTTCGCGGCAATTTGTCGTAGTGTGACATTACATTATTTTTGCATGAGTATTTCAATGTCATGTCCAAACCGGATGAAGAACATATCGATTTGTGTTCACCTTCCAAACCTAGTGAAACCATTCGTTTGCGCACTTATGACTACTGGTGAATCAACTACGTGTATAAGATCATCTGATCCAGTAGAATCGCAGCTTTGCATGCTACCAAGGGGATAAAGAAATATCACCGTAGCAATTCATCATATCATCAATTCAATATAAACTTCAGGAGTAACTACACCCATTTCATGCAACGGAGACGGACAGCACATACGTACTTTGAACACCAGTAACCTCAAACCGTCTATTGCCAGGAACAATCGTTTGAACACTTTCAAGCCGAATTTTCTAGGCTTGCACACTTTCATATAGCCTGAGAGGGGCGGTGGCCCCGGTTCATTGGGATCCCGAGCCGGTTGGAAACTGATCTGGCTAAGAGGTCTGGGCGAACGGCATCGTGACCGGGAGCGACGTCGACCGTCGGTTGAGTCCATACAACTGTTGGCCAGCTCATCCAACAAGGCATCGATTTCCGAATCCAGTTCAACTAAACTAAGCGGTCGGGACTGATTTGGTCCGACACGAGGACGGTTTTGCGGTGCCTGATGACGCAGATAGCCTCCGATCGGTGAAGTGTCTCGACTATGTGCTGTACCCGGTGCTATTCTGGTTGGGGAAAGACTGGAACCATCGGCAACTTGTGAAGCGGAGTCCTTTGGACCATCTGAAGCAACAGTGGAATGCCCGTTAATGGCGAAGCTGGACACGTTTGTCGAGTCTCGTTCTGCCATTTCTTCACGTTCTGTCGCGATTTCTACCTATGATGAGAAAAAGCAAAAGACAGGTAGAAAACGTAGATTCGAATGCACACTGAAATAATGATAAGAATCAACATGAGAATCGATCACACAATCGATTGATATGATGCAGGCAATCGATAGACGTTGTACTATGAAATACTCCCGTGGAAACCATTGATGATGACAGAATAACCGTGGTCTAAGGCACCCAATCCCAGAGTAACCTAACCGGATGGTGGTGGTGGTGAGGAGGAGGAGGAGGAGGAGGATCTTCACTGTGGCCTGGTGCATCACCGCATCTATTAAACTGAGGCCTCCTTTTCTTTCACCACTCCAAGTCCGTTCGTTTCGGATTTCGGTTACCATGACTGAACAATAAGCCACCTGTAGTAAAGATTACTTTCTCCTTCGATGCTACAAAAAGGCCATAGGTACAATAAAGAAACGATGTGTATTCCATTTGCGCCAGCTAGATCAACAAGTTTACTTCATTCGCATCTCACTTTCATTTACCTAACCATAATCACGTATCATGTTTATCAGAAGTTACGTGTTATTGTCCTCTCAGCTCACTGGGGTTCAGAAAACAGAAACACAACAACAACGCCAAGCACCACCACCACCTTTTGGACATACTGCATGCTGATGGTTATGACGAGTACGAATGGAACTCGTACGTATACTCCTCTTCGTCAGATGTGATTGGACCTGCCAAGGTAGGGGCGTGGTTAGCTGGCTGACCGGCCAAATGAATGAGACTGCATCAAAAGTAGCCGGATGACTCACATAGTGTCATTGCAATCTCATTATAGTTTATCGGACAGGCGGAGTGCACACAAGGTGAATTTGTGACTGCTGTTTGCTTGCACACACATCAACCATAGTGCAAGCAGCAGCAGTAGCAGTTGATCACACACACGCACACACAAAACTGAAAACATGCAAAAAGATTACTGAAATAGCTAGGCATAGTTGTCTTCCTCTTTTGCGTACACACACGTACAGAGAGCGAGAGAGAGAGAGAGAACTTCTACCACACCGCATACAACGAAGTAGAAAGTCAGACTCTGACGTTTACAAATGCGAGTGTTAACACACAATCTCTGCCAAAAATGCAATCTAACACCCCTAACTTACTGGCCTCGTTGACACGTCTATATAAATTGTACCAAACATCAGACGACCGGCGAAGACCGTGATCGTCCGCATGATAAAGTACAAATTCAATGTAATTGCTGTTTAAGCCCTCCCCCCGGTGGTCAGTGGCCTTTGCGTGAGTGAATCACGCGACGGAAAAACAATACGGCCGGGCTTGCATTGACCATTCATCACCCGGGTGAACTTTTGAAAAACCTCGGTCAAATAAATTGCAGATTAGAAGAGCGAAGCGAATGAATTTCTCAGGGCTGGCACCACGAGGTACACCCGTACACTACAGTCCATCATTAGGTGCCTATACGCACAGACACACACGAATTTGGTTGTGATCGTCGAGTCACTCAAGGTTTTGATTGTATGAATCAAAATAAGAATGAGGATCTTTGAAGAGCTTGACATTCTGGAGAAAGCAAGTCAACGTATAATGTGTGTGTGCGGGTGTGGTACGAGGAGAAAAAAGATTGGACCACACGCAAATACGTCGGAAGTTGATTCGTTCGCCTTCTGAAATGTACAACCTTTACGAAATACCAAAGCTGGGTTTTGTGGATAGTCGAGTGCACCGACACCAGAAATATGATGTCGAAAATGCACTTGGCCAAATCGGCATTTATACCCACTAAAAACTTCAAGGTCATCATTGTCACCAATTTCCCGCCATAAAATCCATTCACGTCATGATGGTTCTGATCAGGGAATACTTCAGTTTCAGTTTGAACAACCATTAACCATGCACTTTCGTGCGCCGATTTTGGTGGCTGTCACCAACCAGGGAACCTAACGGAACCTATGTAACCCAGACTCTTGTTTAGGGTTTTCATGCCCTCACGTCAAGTCTTAGCTTGACCACTCTTGGCTTTATTCCACCCACTACTTGAGTCGACGAACATTGCTCGCCGTGGCAACTATCTAGTAGCATGCGTAACACATGCCTCAACCAACGTGATTTATAGAGGTCGACCACTTGCTCCAGTGGGCGACCGCAGTTAACAAAACCTCTGTGCCTAACCTCAGCACTGCTCGTCCGGCTACCCTACCAGATTCGTGCAATGCGGCGTAGACAGAGGTGCTCAAACACCAACAGTTTATCTTTACCCTGTTTTCTTAATGGCCAAGTTTCCACACCGTATAGCAGAACTGACCGAACTACTGCAGCACATACTCAACCCTTCAAACATAGGTGGATGTCGCGACGGCGCAACAGATGTCTCAAGTTGGTCCACGCACCCGAGCTTTCTCTATGCGACCTAACACCTAATCCGAAATGCGTCCACCGGATAAGGTGTAGCTGTCCAAGTAACAAAACTTATCCACCTGTTCTATTACTTCTCCAGTTAGAGTGAGGCTGGGTGCTTGACCAACCCAGTCTTGAAATAGCATTCTACACTTTGAAGGTGCAAAACGCATACCAAACATGGCTACGCTGGTGCTCGAGCTATCCAGAAAAGCTTCTAATTGACCTGGATCTTCACTTAGTAGCAAAATATCGTCTGCGTACTCCAGATCAGACAGCCTGCCACCTGGGAGTAATTCGATGCTACTGTCCTCGCACGAGGATAGAGCTGTTTCAAGAATCAAATTTATAATCAAGTTAAATAGTAAAGGAGAGAGAAGGCAACCATGAGGAGCACCACTTTCCGAGGTGAACTCGGGTGAAAAAGTACCTTGAGCTCGTACTCGACTTCGGCTATTAGTATAAAGGGATCGGGGATACTTACTTATTTATCGGTCACATTAAGGGTTAAGGACTTCATGATCCGCTCAAGCTAACGTTCAAGACACTGGGATATATGACTGAATGCAGTGTACAATGTGGTGCCTGTATATCACCAGTTTGCTTTTTAACTCCATCATCATCACTTACGCCTTCGTCATTGGTCAACGTATTGAGTAGACAAAGTCGGTGATGATGACGCTTGCAGCTACAGTAAAGTAAACAACAAAATGAATGGAACCACGGTAGCGGAGTTTGAAGCTCGCATTTTAAACTACCATACGTGTCAAAAAAAGGAAAATTTGACTAACAGGCCAATGAAACGCTCATTATGTATGTTTAGAATTAACCATAGCAGTTACTAAGATGCTAGAGGTGGTCATACACACTGATACCATCTATGAACACATGCATCAGTCAGAGAGGTGCAGATAAACACATACGGAATGAACGATCGCAGCTTGAGACTAAAAGCTACGAATGATCGCCCATCATTCCATTCGGCTTAATGAATAACGGACTAGCGTATTGGTTAATTACCTTAGTCTAATTGGGTCATTGAACTTTTATGAATACAACATCTCAGTTCTCGATGAAGGTACGCGCAAAAGTGTTTTCAGTAGATTAGCCTATTATTGTGTGTCTGTGTGTTTGTGTGAAATCGACGTGAGCTATTTTACCTTCACACTTTTTTCCCCGAACGTTCTATTGAAATGTCGGTTGAATAATTAATCGAAACACAGTGTGCATCATTGTGTATGTGGGCGTGTAGTGAACCATAATTCGCAAAAACAAGAAATGACGTATTGTTTATGTACCAAATCTGTCTCCAGACTGATGGGTTACGTAACCGGAGCTAACATTGAAAGACTTCATACACCTCTTACATCACTGCCGACCAAGTTGTATGAACAGCTTAATTCAGTGATCTGGGACAATGAGAACACATACCAGAAAACACTCGCAGATAATACCGCTTACATTATACAATGCAAATCACATTTGCAACTGGGGGACTCAATTTGAGACGAGCACGTATCGAAGAATCATTGGAATGATTCTGTATCAGGTGTTGAGGGTTAGGTGCATCTAACCTTAGCCAGCTCAACGCTAGGGTCGATTTTCAGTGTCTTTATAATGTGTAATATATGAATGGCTGAGAAATTTTGTCCAGTCATTCATACACTACCCATTATAATGCAATACAATATACAATGCCGTTTAGAGTTGTGTACCGGCATCCTGGTTTTGCTTTTAACTCAGAAGAAAAGGAGGGGGAGGACGAAAAGATGGTTCATGCACCTAATCACCCCGGGTCAGATGTTGCTGAAACCCTTGTTCGATTGTTCCTCCATTGTTTTATCGTGGTTCATCATTCTATTTTGTGAATGGATGTCTGGATGGTGGATGGTCAACAAAGAAGAAA